AGAGCACAACAGTATATTTTGAGACAAAAATGTGAGTACTCATAGCGCAGTAACATGGGTTAACTGATAGTTTCTAATTCTTAAACTAGATAGAAAACAGTGGACATACACATAAAAGACTTGCCTATATTTTTTTTTCAGAAATACTACCACAGTGGAAGTAAAATACCACCTGCTGTTCTAGGAAAAAGTACAAGTGTGTTTGACACTAGCTACATGCTTCTGTCCTGAGGCACTCCATCCCTGTTGGTTTACAGCTAAGATAGCATCTGACAAAGCTTTGTCAATAACATAAGGTTGCTAGTCTGTAAGTAACAACATTCTGCACAGGTCCACCAATACACTTTCAACACAGCCTGAAGCTTCCTTAAGTTTATCTATTTGATCATAACCATTGGCACTTCATGATTGCCAGCACAGTGTAGTGGTTTGAGTATTATTGTATCATAGAAGACCAGGATTTGAGTCCCTGCTTAGCTATGCAAACCCACTGGGTGGCCTTGGTCAAGTCATAGTCTCTTAGCCTCAGAGGAAGGCAAAGGCAAAGGCAAAGGCAAACCCCCTATGAACAAATCTGCCAAGAAAACTCCTTGATAGGTTTACCTTGGGATCACCATAAATTGGAAATTACTTGAAGACACACAATAATAAAAGCAACAATCCTATGGCCAATCATTAGCTAGTGGGGAGCTGTACCCTGGACAGTCTGGTTGTCCTTCTGCACCCAGGACAAATGTGTTCCACAAAGAAAAACAAGGTATCTCCATCCTCAATGGTTTAGAAAGCACTTACACTGGCATAGTTGGGAGTTGTTGTTTTGTACCTTCAATATATTTTTGACTTTCATGAGGTTTTCCTAGCAAAATGTGTTGTGGGGGTTCCTTTTGCCTTCCTGTGAAAGAGTGTTCTTTGTCCAAGGTCACTAGTGGATATCTATGGCTAAGCAGGGATTTGAACCTTGGTCTCCAGAGTTGTAGCCCAATGCTCAAATCACCACACTACTGCTCAAACCACTGCTGCAGGGGGAGATTATTTCAATGCAAGTCACCAACAGGAATCTAGCCTCATGCAGCACTATTTGATGCCCTCTCACAGTTTTGAAAAATAGCCTGAGTTATATCTATTTGGGGCCATCCAAATGAGAGATCATCAGACAATGGATAAGTGCAGCAAGGCTATTGTGATTGAAAGTATTAGGGCAAAACCACATCACACACCCTTCCTGGCTATATTCATGTAATATTAACAGAATGACACAAGGTATGACTGTTTAGAGGTAGTGACCATGCCACTCAAGTAATCCATATGCTGGCCTTTTGTATCTTGGGCACCATAAGCACTCCTTCCTCTTCTGGAAATGCCAAATATTTCCAGGCAGTGAGGAAACAATTGCATTAACGGCAAAAGCCTTCTTCTGCCTTGAAGAAATAAGCAACAGGACAGAGATGATAAAATGCTGAGAATACAGGGTGAGAGGGGAACAGAACCCACCATATAAGGCTGTAAAAATGGGGAAATAATAAGGAGAGGAAAAAATATGAAGAGGATGAATGCCAGGCTCACTTTGCTAGCGAACCTTCCTTGTAATGATCCAATAATCCTGAGGTCATTATGGGCCCAGCCTATCCTCCAGTTGATCTCTATAAAAGATAATTGGAAGTGTAAGAAAATAGATTCGAAGAGCCGGAGACAGAAACACATAAATAACAGAGGTGATTTCTTTTTGGTGCAGAAGAGGCCTCGGGAACAGATAAGCCCAGCTTGCTACATTAGTGAGATAAGGATCTACAGGGATACAAATGGGTACTCTCAGAAGGAGGCTGCATGACAGACACAGCATCATCAATCATGGAAGGCTGGAATCATGTCAGATCATGGATCAGCTGAAGCATCAGGGCAAGACAGTGTCACCTGTGTGGACAGGACTGCATCATTGTTTGCTGTGCTGAGTATTCCTCCTTCAGACAACAGCGACTATACTTGTGCATTCAGGTAAACACAGAGGCTGGAATTTGTATCAGCTATTTAGTTACAAACTCAATCTATCTATCTATCTATCTATCTATCTATCTATCTATCTATCCACCTATCTACCTACCTACCTACCTATCTATCCATCCATCCATGGGTAACTGTATTGGCTATTACCCAAAAGTATTACCCAAAATCCACAAAGCAATTATACCTTTATTAGGCCAACCAAAATGCAAATTATAAACGTTGCAATCTTTCAAAGCTCCACTGGCTTCTTAATCAAGCAAAGGTGTTTAAAATCATACATGAGAAAGAAAGAAAGACAAGTTGACAATGGTAGTCATAATAGTCAAGATTTTGTGGCTGATGTCCTCAGTTCAGATGATATGCAAGGGCATACATGCAGATGGGTCCAACCTCCTTCCGGTCATGTGGGTACTGGGAGATTTGTGTACTTCGCCCTGATCTGTTTTTTTTTTAAATATTTTTTATTAAAATTGTTTTAGGTCACATTTATAAAATACACTTGTTGTACACAAAAAACATATATGATCAGAACAAAAATTACAAATGATTTTTTCACCCCCCAAAAAAGACTTACCTTTCCTGGGAGCTTATTGCATGCCCTAAAGAGGTGTTTTACCTCTTCTGGCTTCAATTCTTGATTAGGGATACAGCTGGATGTTATTAGACATAATTCACTGCCAATTCTGTTGTGATGCCGCTGGCTGAATGCAACCTATGTCCAAGGACTGCTCAGCTGGCCAATTTTTCAAGTTGGAAAACTTCTGTTTTTGAAAAAGTGCCGGATGAGTGTGGCTTTCAGCAGGGCTGCATTCAGCTTGTGGTATCATGACAGAGATGACAGCAAATTATGTCTGATAACATTCAGCTGTATCCCAAAACAAAGATGGAAGCCAGAAGAAGTAAAATACCTCTTTAGGGCATGCAATAAGATCCCTGGTTTGAATCCTCTTCCAGGATGAAGCCGGGTATTATCACACTGAAAAACTCCCAAATTCACCACTGATTCCACTGGCTGAGTGCAGCCCAGCTGCATCCTTGGTCCCAGGCACACTTCAGTGGCCATTTTTCCAAGCCAGGAGCTTTCCGGCTTTGAAAAGCGGCACCTGGGACCAGCGATGCAGTCAGGCTACACCTGGCTGGCAGAATCGATGGTGAATTTGGGAGTTTTTCAGTGTGATATTTCCCTGCGTCATCCCAGAAGAGGATTCAAACCATGAAACGTAAGTCGTTTTTTTCAGCTGTGTGAAAAACTCCTAAATATTTACTAACAACAACAACATTTATCATTCATACATAATTCGTTACTTCCTTATTGCCAGCTTTGATAATTTTCTTTTTCCATTGCTAAACATAAATGACCACAAAACCACAAAACCACATAAATGACCACAAAACCACAAAAGAAGAACCATGTTAGATCAGACCATAGGCCTAAGTCAACTTTGTACTCCAGTATTCTTATCCTTTTCTTAAATTGATAACTTGCACATGTGAGTGACATACCTTCTAACATTTCACAGATTAAAAAAAAAAAATGGGACATATATGGCCAAGCAACAACATAAGATGGCAAAAGTTATAAATTAAGAATAACACATAAGCTAAGAGAGGCTACAGCAGTTTGCTTTTGCCTGACCCTAGTGGAAAGGACAAGATTCTGCCCCATTGTTTCTCTCCTTCCTGCTGAGTTAACTGACTGCAAACTACTTTTGCACAACAAACTATGTTGGCAGTAATTTAGGGTGAAAATAATAACATGAGGGAAGGAATGGGGCATTTTAAAAGCATCTGAAAAAGTGGGACAACAGAGGATTAATCAGAACTGCCACATCGAGATATGGAATAAGACATGGCAACATGTTGATCACCATACACCTAACTTGCTTCCTGCTCAATATCAACCAAATATGCTGTTGTTCTTGTGTGCCTTCAAGTCATTTCCAACTTATGGCGACCTTAAGGTAAACCTATCATGGGGCTTTCTTGAGCAGATTTGTTTAGGAGAGGTTTGTCATTGCTTTCTCCTGAATCTGAGAGCATGTGACTTGCCTAAGGTCTCAGTGTATTTCCATGGCCAACTGGGGAACTGAACACTGGTCTCCAGATTCACAGTCCAACACTCAAACCACCATACCAGGCTGGCTCCCATCAACCAAATATATTCAGATATACAACTCTGTAGTAAATTTCAGGACACCAGACAAATGTACACATGTGTGGGAACACATGTAGAGATCCCTTCTAACTTGTGAAAGAAAGGTGTAGATTGCCTTCTGCACTCAAATAATAATAATGACTTCTAGCAAAGAGCACTGCAGTACATCTTCACCACTCTTGTTGAGAACAGCAGACTGAGATATGCAGCCCTGGAGTTAATGAAAAGTGTGATAAACCTGCTGTTTCATTTTGTCATAATTAATGCAAGTGATTGGGTTGTGTTGAAGTCATTCTGATTTGGAGAATGCACCCTGGGGTCACTTCCTTACTACTCACACCACAATGAAACAGCTCTTTATTTTCTGCTCAGACTGAATGGGAAAGACTCAAACACAAAGTGGCTCGGAGTGCTGGTGTATATCTCATTTCAGTCTTTAATGACCAAGATACAATCAAAGACATCAATACATTTACTCCTTGCAAGGTGAAGAGACTGGAAATTTAAATTTTAAAGTAATTAATTCCAAGATTAATTCCCAGTAGTTAGTTAGTATTATAGGCTAGAATCCTGTTGGGGTCTTACATCTTGTAAGTGGACCTATATATAAGGAAATTAGAACTGAGCAGTTTCATAATGTTTGCATTACCATGAAGCAGGGCCAGCAGGGTGCTCAATGTGCATTGTGCACCAATGTGCACCAATACTGCTATTGTTGAGTGCCTTCAAGTCATTTCCATGACCATGGGGTTTTCTTGGAAAGATTTGTTCAGAGGAGGTTTGTCATTGCTTTCTCCTGAGGCTGAGAGTATGTGACTTGTCCAAGGTCACACAGTGGGTTTCATGGCAGAGCCATGAATTGAATCTTGGTCTCTAGAATCATAGTCCAACATTCAAACCACTACACCACACTGTACTTATCTTACATCAACTTTAACCTAACATAACTTTAGTAGAAGTAAAATTATGTTAGGTTAAAGGTGATGTAGGATTTTAGTGAATGCAAATTATAAATCAACTCTTTGTTATCACATTTAATTACAAAAATAACAAAAATCCTTTCCTCCTGTAACACTGATATATAACTACAAACTACTTGTGGTACAAAATACATTCTTCCTGTCTATCTGTCATTGTCTCAACAGCAATAACAAGCAACATTTGAACCATCTGATATTCTTCCTTAATGAGGCTGCATCCTGTAGGTATAAAAGTAACAAAAATATTACAGCAGGCTGGACAACTGCATAGAGGATAAGGGCTACTTTTCACCCTGCGTCCACCCAATGGGCCACATCAGTACATTTTGGTGAGCCTGAAATGATACAACATAATTTCCAGCTTTCATTTTGGCTTATTTTCAAATGATTTTTTAAAAATATATATATATTGTATTTTGGGGGCATTTGGGAAGGGGCTTTGGAGGGTCAGAGGAAGTAAACTACTATAGTTTGGGAACATTTTGGGTAGTTTGGGGGTCAAACAATTCACCCTAAAATTTAGCCATATGCATTGAGATGCCTGTAGGTTTCTGGAAATGCTTCAGGGGCACACTTAGGGATGTCAAGGACCAGATGAAGCTCATGGCTTGTGTTTTGTCCACTCTTCAAGTTACAGGCTTACTGTAAAATGAGTGAAGGCATCATTTGGTTTGATACTATCATACTATAAAGCAGTTATGCCTGTCTTATTGGAGAAAAAGAGGATAGAATTTTAGATCTCTGTCTCCCATGCTCTGATCAGAAATTATGCAACCCAAGGCCACACCTTGTCCACAAAATGGTGTACAAAATGGGCAGGGGTAGATATTAGACAACTTTTGTGGCCTGCAGTCCTGCCAGAACCTCACTGCCTTTTTTTGGGGGGGGGGGGACAATCAAAGAGAAGATAATCATCACAATGTAATGTTTGAGTGGTGGACTAGGACCCTGGGAGACCCAAGTTTCAATTCCTACTCTATTGTGGAAGCTCATTGGGTGACCTAGGGCAAATCACACTCTCTCAGTCTCCATGGAAGAAAATTAAAACTCTTGCTTAAAAAAAAAATACAATAGATTCACCATAAGTGAAAAAGTGACTTAAAGGCAGAATATACACATACAGTCACACAAACTGCCCCTTCTGGAAAACTCCTGGACTGGAAATTCATGTATTTAGTCCACTCCTGCATTGTTTAATATATGTTGCTGAAAGCCAGAAGTGGACTTTCTTTTCTTGCTGCATTTTCTGGAAGACTACTTGCTCTTTGGATGGTTCCAGTAGAAGAAAGTTGACTCTCAGAGATGTTGTGGTTGCCAATCCTTGCCCTATATTCTCATTAACACTATGCAGCAATGTTAAGAAACAGTTGCAGTTACAGTCCACATTCTCTACTCCTTTGGAGGCATTTAAATAAAGGTTAGATGGGTATCTTTCAAGAGTGTTTTAGTTTCATTTTCCTGCATGACAGGGGGCTGGACTAAATTGTCCTTGTGGACCTTTCCTGTTCTAAGATTCTATGACTCTATGATCCATTCTTACATCAACTCTTGAGAGCATGAAGCACACAATATCTTTCCTGAGGCAGGATGTACAGTTATGGCATTTTGAAATATCCCCTATCTTATTGTCAGTCTTTTGGGTAATTTTACAGGAAGGGTAGTGCTGCAAAACCTACCAAATTTCAACAACAACAACAACAACAATATTTTTTATTTATATCCCATCCCTCTGACGAGCAATTGGGGCAGCTTACAACATTGAAATTCCATACAATATAAGGCAGATTACATGGATATAGCTTAAAAACCCCCAAACCCACCCGCCACTTTAAAAAATATTAAACCAAGTTATGTATTAAAACATGTTAAAATAAACTCACAGGAGCAACAAAACAGACAACAGCAGTGAATACAGACAGAATAGGGAGAGGAAGAGATGGGCAGAACACCTAAGGCCGGGAAGTCTAGTCAGGAAAGGCCGTCCATCATATTTCCCTGGAACACCCCAGAATGATACTTTCTTGTTGCTGTTGAGTCCAACACTCAAACCACTACACCAGCTCTCAGAACAATGCTATACTTGAAGTCCCATGAAAAGGAAAATGGTGGGTTCCAGCTGGCAGGCCCCAAAAGGAGCCTGGCTGAATGTAACAATGCATATATTGGCTCTCATGCCTGACATAATTAATAATAAAGAGGAGGCAAGCCTTCTGCAAAAGTACTCAGAGATAGCCAAAGGAAGAAGGGACATTATAACAGTGATATTCCTCTGGTGCATTTGTAAATCCTCTGCAGCACAGCAGACGAATCACATTTGTATGTCCTTTCACTCCAGCCACACAGAAAACAGCATGAGGTCAACAATTTTGCAACATCTGAATTCACACAGCATGTTGAATTCACACAGCAACACTAGGATGACTGAACTTCTTGGCAACTATGCCCAAATTGCACAATATACTTCTGGAGACAGAAGGTCAACTAGCTGACTTTTAAAAAATAATAAAAAATAAAAATAAAAATAAGATACCCATCAAGATTGTTGAAGCTTCACCCTGTTCTTTGGAGTCATTGAACTGAAATTCACTTTCACAACTAGTAGATTTATTGAGGGCAAGGAGGCACATCTCCAAACAGCACTACATATGTACCAGACTGGAAGTTGCTCAAAGCCCCAGATCTACAACCAGAACATTAGGGAAATAGAGCAGAGGAAAACAGAAAACAATAGACTTGGTTCATGCATGCACAGTCCACAACTCTGAAGTCTTTCCTACTTTCCACTTCTGCATGGAAGATGCTTCCCCACTGTATAACATCTCGGGTTGCTGTGTTGTGTACAAAGTAATTATTTGGGATAAGGCCAAGGAACAATGATACAACAAATGATTTGTACCCTTAATGTCCTAGAAATCTTTTTGTTTAGCCTCTTCAATTGGGACACTTGACGGCAGCAGTACCATTAGTGGCATTATAAAATTTATCTGCTTTTTCTTTTTGATCACTGACTTGCTTTGGTTTCCAACAGTGGTTTCCGAACTTTGGTCCTCCAGGTGTTTTGGACTTTAGTTCCCTGGAGCCCTAGACAGCTTGGACAACAGTCACAAATTTTGGGAGCTATAGTCCAAAACATCTGGAGGACCAAAGTTTGGGAACCACTGGTATACAGGTTTGGATGTTGGGCTAGGACTCAGGAAGACCATGGTTCAAATCTCTGATCGGACATGGAAATTCACTGGGTGATCTTGGAAAACAACTGTTTCATGCTCAACAATAGCTACTCAGTCACTATTGTGGCACTATTGCCACAATTGTAACTCACCTCCCCAATCTACTTTACTAGACATGATCTGCATGGGGAGAAGGCCGTCCATTCTGCTGAGTGTAGGTAAATGACAGTATTCTTAGTTAGGTGTACTTAACCCAGTAGCTGATACAGAATACTAGCCTATCATTATGCTTCCTCACAGGCAATGATCATTATGCTTCCTCACAGTCAAGGATTTGCATCCAGCATTTGAATACATCCATCTCATTTGCAAGCTCCAGTGCAATCATAGGGAGCTTTGTAAAAAGCAAAATAGTGATCCTATGTACCTCTTGCTCAACTCAGTGAAAAGTGCACTAGAGAATTTCCTGACAGTTTGGGATGTGCATGTCGTGAGTGAAATCAATAGTTGGGATTTCTAAACTGGGATTTCAAGAGACTGGGCAGCTAGAAAGACTAGAGTCCTTGCCCTATCCTTTTAGCACATGAAGTTTCATCCTTCAAAGGAGGTGAAGACTGCTGCAAGGACATTCCCTTTCCAGAAAGAACATTGCGGCATGTCCTGCCGTGCTGAGCGCACCAGTCTCTTCCTCCCCTAATCCTGCCAGTTCCATGGGAGAAACTTTGACACAGCAGGATTATTTATCTGACTGTGCATTAGGCCTAGCAATGCAGCAGTATCATAATGATACTAATTAACAGTGTTCGTTAATATCTTTAAATTACCTGTGTTAGCTCGCAGGCAAAACAACCCAGTATCAACAGCAGTGGTGTGGGCCCATTTGCATTGGCGACTGACAGTATGTTCATTTCACACTTCATTAGAATGCTCCAGAGTGATTCTGTCCCCAAATTGCAAGAAAATCTCAAAGCACGTGGCCTGCTGGCTGATGGGTGTCCTGTGGAAGAGCTCTTCGTCAACAACAAAAAAGAGTGATCATGAAGTAATTGACTGGATATGTTCCCTTTGTCTAACTTTGGTGCAGGAAATTCTGAAGAGCTGCTTCTTGGTCCTTCCTGCTCCAAGTATGCAGCAGAATATTACACAACTTGATGTGTTCATTGACTATAGCTGTGCACAAAAGACCATTTATCAAGTGCTAATGTGGGTTCCTTTAACTCCATTGGTATGTACTCCTCCTATCCACTTTGGCTAAAATGAGACCTGGGTTACCTGGCAAGAACCCATGCTGTGGTAGAGCTGGGCCAACATTTCAAATTCAACCTTGTTCAATTTCACGTCCCCCCAAAAAAAATTTCCAGCCCATCTCGGCATCATCTGTATTTTATTCCCAAGAGACAGCATGGAAATTGGTAAAAATATTTGAGTATATATTTTTGCAGTTTTGTATGCACTTTTATCTAATACAAATTTTTGCAGGATGTGTTTTTTCCTAATATAATGCCTTTTAAAGTTATTTTTACAAGTGAACATACTTTTGATCACATTTGCCCCAGATATACACATTTTGTATGCATTTAAAAAAAAAAATAGCAGAGAATTGCATTGCAGAATTTGAAAATATGAATATTAAGATTCTGTTCAGATGTTTTTGGGGGAACTGCAGATCATGAGCAGTTACATTAAAATGTGAACCAAACAAATATATTTCCCATTTCTACACTGTGGCTTTTACTCTTGCCAACATCATGTTTCTAAAAACCAAA